ATAAATGGACAATAGATAAATCTGCATGTCTATAAATATAACCGGCTTGATACATAGCGTGACGCGGAAAGAACTTATGGGGCATCCTAATATATATATTGTTTCAACCCCCTGAATTACCATGGGAAGAAGGACAAGAAGGGCCAGACGACATGGTAGCTTTTTACAGAGTGAAACTATAGTGTGATCTTGACAGGTTGTCAAACCGAACTGACGTATCGGCCTAGAAAGTGCGGTTTATACGAAAGGAGTTACGCTAGCCATATACTTGTAACTAATCTTAATAAAGTTACTGTTCTTGTTCTTACCCTTGTTCGGGGGAGGTGTTACAATATATAAATACACATATGAATATTCTTGCTATGTAACAAAGTTCCACGAGATTCTTGCGATTTCATGCTATGATCAGAATATGTGCATTCGGAAGACAAAAATGAAGAGCGAGAGACAGAAATATGAAATATATTTCAATTAAAATTAAATAATAAAATCTAATGTGGTTGTATTTTATAATGGACATATTATAATTTTGGTTCTATTTATATTTATTAATTATATTTTATTTTTATGATATAATTAATAACGAATGATTTTTATCTTACAAAACGTGAGAATGTCTAAGAGCAACAGCAAAGTCTTCGTATTATGTTTTGAAATTTTACTTTGAACTATAGTTCCCAAGTGCATCGCTTATTAGCCACTCTCGCGTGAGCAATTTCCGAAGCTAATATCCCAGCTACGTCGTTCACTTGCAACACACGTTTTCGGTCTGGTAACGAGCCACCTGCAATTAGATCGCGTTAATTACACTCCGGCATTACGGCAACACAGACTATAGGATGCAAAAATGTTAAATATATGTATATGGAGTTCTAATCGACAGATTTAAAGTTCAATCGTGAAGTTAATTAGCAGATCGAATTTAATAAATCAACGAATACGTTAAATATGTTAAATAAATAAAATTATCATTAACGTCAGTTATATTTGTTCGCGTATAATACATACTTTCATAATATATATGAGTTTCAAAGGGAAAATTGAAGACARTTAATAAATTTTGATGAACAAATTTATTTGATCTTGTTGAACGTTTCGTCCCTTACTGGGGACTTCCTCAGCAACTCGATCACCTAGTTCACGCGTCAATACATATTACTTTAGAGTC